AACTTCAATTTGAGAGAAAAGATACAAAGACCCACGGGGCTCTGTCCTATTAAAAGGAGAATTTCTTAGGCTATGGAATGTCTTCCTTTTATTTTGCTGAAGGGACTTGTTTCTGGATGTGCTGTTGGGATCTCAGCTCTATTGCTGACTGGAAGGATGGCCTGTTCTGAGTCAGCCCAGCCCGAGTAGAAGAGCTCAGAGAAAAATATATTGGAACAGAACAGCTGGAGAGAGGTAGTCCCCCTTCTCACTCCTGAGAACTCTTGTTAACCCCTCACGCTCCCCATGGAAAAGCTGAATTATCGTCCTTTCTTGACACTAATCCCCTGATTGGAGACAGTTCACGTTTAATGCTTCTATATGTATGGTGTCAAGCTCACTATCGTATGCTTTCAGCTGGGCTTTCTAGAACAGAACTACATCGAAGGACAAATGATTTGCCGAGCAGACTCCTCTGATGAACTCCACTGTTTTTGATTTATGTTAGACTGCTTGTAACGGCACTGCCACGGACACTGAAGAATACAGTGGTCTGTCACACAGCGGTCAGGATTTCCTGAGCGTACCCGGCTTGCTATGATGCATGCAGAAGTGCTGACAAGCCTCTAGCAAGCCCGATGGCAACTGAACTGGAAGTGCAGCGCAGGGCACTGGGTGGACTCATACTATGTGAGATTACTTCATTCATGTTTGTTGAATCCTGTGCCTCTCCTGTGGCATCCTGGTAAGAGAGACCCGGACCTTACTGGAGCCCAAAGTTCAGGAGCCTGGTGCTTCCTGGTGAGCTGGCTACACACTAGAGTCTCAGCTGTGATAGGTGCCTCGCTGACAAGGGATGAGAGCAGAACTGTGGGAAATAAAACGTGCCGAAACAGAGGATCTCCACAGACCAAGGTCAGACTACTAGAAAAGCAGAGAATTTACTCAGAGATTTACTGTGGAGGCCAAGAGGACTGCAGCTGCCCGTTAAAATAATCCAGCAGAGAGAGCCTGCGCTGTGTCTCTGCCGACTGCCTCTGTCTGACCGGTGTTGTTTCCTTCCCTGGGAACCTTCCCTCCGTTCCTTCGCGGGATCAATACACAGACATTCCCCACCAGCACGGTTACTGGTGCAGAATTCCAGGGCTGGGGTAGTGCCGCAGTTTGTCTAAGTGGCCTGGTCAGGACTGTCTCTTATGGCTATAACATCCATGCATTGAAGTTGACGAGCCGTGTGGCACGGTTGTTTACTTCCAGGGGTTAGCAACGACTGCTTGTAGGCAACGCGCCATCTCTAAAAGGTCAAAAGTATATCAAATCCAGAACACTCTTCACTGGAGCGCTCATGTACTTCTCTGTAATGACTTCTGCTCTGCCAAAATTCAATTTTCTACTCCTCCTAGCAGCTGCAGCTCTCCAGAAGAGACTGCAGTCATTGTTCAGAGGTTATAAACAACTGAATGCTAACAGTTGTGCTGACCTGAACTCTTGAATTTTGCCTGTTCCAGTCAAGGATCCTGGTTCAGTAAAAGTTAAGCCCAACTTGATTTCTGATCTAATTACGTGATGAGAGCTAGTAAGACAAATAAAGCACCTCCTAAACCTGGCCATGGTGCTGCCCTTTCTCTGACATTCTTGCACATGTAAAGCAAAGTTGATTCACTTTGGTCTCAACTAGATTCAAGATGTGACTGGACACTGTTAGACAGGAAAAGTCTATGCTCCCTTCTATTTGTGCCTTACGTTTAAATAAACTTTTACTTCCTAATTGCTATGAACGTACTTTTCACTTCAGTGGCTCAGTGTTCAGACACGTGTGGCTATAAACTAAAAAAGTTAATCGTGTTATTCTGCAGGTATGTGGCACGCTTACCTGTACTTGCAATCCAGTGTCAAGCAAAATCTGATCAAGGAGTTTCTCCCTCTCCTGCAGGACTTCTAGATTTTCTTTAACAAAATACCTTGGGATAGGTACTTCTATGTCTTCCTAGAGGAAGAAATAGTCATGAGATACTTTTCAGAACTGCATTAAAATCACATTACTTATTAATTGAACACCTTTACAAAGCAATTAAATTACACTGAAATGTTGAGCACTTTGGAGTGTTGGGGAATTTGACCTCTGTAACAGCTGCTGAGCTGTTACTCTGCAATTACTTAAGGCCTAATTCAACAAAAACAAATAAATCAACCCAGTTTCTGAACCATAGCAGCCCAGAAATATATATTTTTTTTAAAAAATATAATGGCTCAATTATATTATCAAACTGTTAAAATATTTGGCACAGTTGCCGGAAATTTAAACTTAATTTTCACTGAATTGAGTACCTCTGGTTGTATGATTATCCCACTTCTTTTTTTAATCAACATGAAGAATAGACCATTCTCTTGCATTTTTTTTAACTGTTACAAGGAACCAAAGCACAATTCTGTTTGTCTACACGTATTTCTAATTCTAGACAAACTGTCACCGTCTGCGACTGGGATATCTCAGTCACCTTTCAAAATCAGGTGTGATTAGAATCACAGAATTATTGAGGCTGGAAAAGACCTCTGAGATCATCGCATCCAGTCTATAAGTGGCTGTCTTTACTTGTTTCTATCATTAAAAAGGTATAACTGATTCACATTTCTACCAACTCTTTTCCTTTAGAATTCTGCTCTTGTTGAGAAGTGAAAAAAGACACAGACAGGAAGACAAAGAAACTCCCCCAAAGTTCAGAAGCTGCGGAGTGACATAACCTGTTCTGCATCTCTAGACTTCAGTGCAACTCTTCGTGACTACTCACTGGCAAGTATATTTCTTTGAGGGAGTGGACAACGTATCTTCATAGGTCTGGTTCATAGTGGTGCCATGTTCCCTGTGTACTGTTCCAGGAATATCTAGAGTATTTCCTCAAGCAAATGACTTACTCAGGAGGAGAGAAGGGAGGGATGGGGAAGACAGGCACTAGTTACCCAGTGGTGTTAACTCACGAGGAGTTGTACGGTCATGTTACACAATAATTTGTTCCTAGGTATATACAGGCACTTGGTCCTTTTGCCCAAGGAGCTTAAGCAGGCACAAGATGATGCTGCGTGATTACCAGTGCTCTCTGTCTGTCTGCTAGGGAACCAGTTGGCTTCGACCTGCTCAGGGAGATCTTTGACTTGATCCTTTGCAGCCTCGACACCAGCTTTGGTGTGGACAGATATGAAGTAGAAAAGTGCTGGCTGCATGGAACACGCACGGCATCTGCCATGATACAGGCATGGGGTAAATGTGCTGCTTGAGAGGTCTAAGGCTTTCCAACTCCTAGAGCAAGAATTTGCAGGGAGGGCTGTGGCCAATGAAAACAGCCTCTGCGAACTGCCAACTTGAAGCTTTCGTTACTAATTCTCTCAGTTGCACAGTGCAGACTGGGACATCCCTATTCACAGAATCGCAGAAATACTGAGGCTGGAAAAGACCTCCGAGATCATCAAGCCCAGCCTGTGACCCAGCACCACCACACTGGCTAGAGCATGGCCCTAAGTGCCACATCCAGCCTTGCCTTAAACACCTCCAGGGTATGGCAGCATAAAAAAGTTTCCAAGTAGGACTGTGTTTATCCATGTTGATTTTATCAACGTTAGAAGTCTGATCTGCTACAGTTTCTAAATATTTGTCCTGTTACGCTCCCTGTTTGCACCTTCCAACATCCTTGATTGTTGAATGGAAATGATTCTATGTTGTATTTTAAGAGTGCAGATTGCTCCAGGAGGGATCACAAATCTGGTTGTCTCTAGGTATAAGAAATCAAGTGGTTTGTGTGGACAACCTCACACAGGATGAGAAGGCTGTCAGGTAGCAGTGCGAGTCAGCCCGCGTAGGGGTGATAAACATCCCTGATGTGTAACCTGGGCATTACTTGCAAGTGGTCCAGAACTGTGACTTACTGAGCGTTAAGATGACATCAAAGCCATAATACAGGAGCCTGTTTCTCTGCATATTCTCTTTTTGGGGGCTAGCATTGAAAAGTTAAGCTTGTGATATTTATCCTCAAGTCAAATTCGCAGCTTTTCAGCCACTCCCGGATCCACGTGGGATTTGTGTATCCAAATACCTTCCCAATTACCCCAGGAAATGGAGTGATTGAGTGTTGGAAAGCAATTGTATAAAAACATGAGGCACTGAACTAAAGAAAGATGAAGCTTGGCTTTGCAGTGACAGAGTGAAAAACATGCAATATCATTGCGTAAGTTATGAGACTACTCTGCTATAATCATGCTGGATTTTAGCCTATGACAATACTGTGAGAGGAAGGACTAGAGATATCCTTTCTGAGCAGATTCTTTAATAAATAGAAGTTATTTCTCAAGTACTGGCCAGTAATTTTGTTTGGTAACCAAGAATATCTGATTATCTTATTAAAAAACTCCAAACCATAAATCTGTATTCCTGTCCAATATGGAAAATGATGTTTTCTTTGAAAAAGAAGGATATATTTTCAGTGACTTTTTTTTTTTTTGGTGGTAGGTAGGTATGTCATGCCTCCTTAAAATTAAGGTGTGGTGCAGGAATTTGGATTTATGCTTGGTTTTTTACTAGATGTCGAGCATGACTTTTCAGACTTGCCAACTTTTTGCTGCAGGTGGATCTGCTGATAAGTCATGAAAACAGCAGTGCTTAATGATTTCAAAATATGATGTGATGGATCAGTTTCCCTGGAGATGTGTTTGTACTCTCTAGTACGTCTTCCTCATAGTTTAAAATAGTTCTCTGCTGCAATTAAGGCAGAAGGTAAAGAGCTGGCGAAAATTCAGGGCAATTACTGTCCTAAATTTGCAGAGTGAAATATAGAAACATCTGACGTTTTAAGTGGGATCCTGAAAAGAAGCAGTTATTCACCAACTCTTTTTCTTCAGAAAAGCAGCGGTACCTGAATTTGACAATAGGTGGAGCTGTCTGCGAGAGAAGTAATCACCTTTCGGCATCCAACGTTTCATCCTGCTTTTAAAATCACGGCTTTAAGGTTGTCGTACCCATCTGGTTTGTGGGCTGTCTGTGTCAGGGGGCTGCTTTTACATCAGGCAGTCCTGAACCCTGGATGTTGAATGTGCTCCCGGCTCCTGCCTCCTTTACAATAAGAGACTTGTCTCAGATTTCTCATTTTACTAGTTTGCTGCACAACGAACTAGCAGACCAGATTATGAAACGTTTAGCATCGCCCATAAGCTCTGGAGGAGGCCTGGGGCCAGGCTGATTCACAGTGATGCAAAGGGCAGACCAAAGTGGGCTGCATCTGAATTATCAGTTCCTCGTCTGCTATTTAATCCCAGGTTAATATCAGGCAAAGTCAATGTGCCAACAAAACTGTCCATGTTAATAAATACAACTTCAGGACACGTACAAGAGAAAGATCCACAGAGCCTGAGCTGTCATGGAGAAGCAGAAATGTTGATTAAGGAGACTAGCTTTTAAAATCTTGGTCCAACATATAATGCTCATCGTAAATCAAATGTACACTGACCTTTAATAAAAATGCCACAATTACCGATCACCCAGGACACTAGTGACTGTGCAGGAAAGCTACATCACTTGCTGGAGCTTCACAGACTGCAAATAAATGTGACTATCCTTAGAATACAGGCTAGGCAATGTTCCTGATAATAGAGGTAGACTCACCGGGAGAAGCTTTAGATCTTCCAGGATATTATCAATGTAATGAAATTCTGAGTTCTCCAGCTGCACCATCTCTTTCTTTATTTCCAGGATCCGGCCAATCACGCCATCTAGCACTTGCTGAATCGCTGCCCGCTTCTGCCGGTGAATGAGTTGGTCATGGGCCATCTCCAAGTTTCGGAAGATTTGCATGTATTTGATGTAGAAAGTGGCTAACATGTTGAATACTTTCACAAGGTCGATCTCCGGCCGGCTGGACTCCTCTCTTTCTTTCTGGAGCTGGATGTCAATGTCTTTCTGGGCATCTGCCCACATCTTATTGTAAGTGCTAATTGAAAAGAGAAGACTCTGTTAACTCGACATGAAAACAAGAGTTAGCACAAAGTGATGCCAGGGCTCTGTGTGTGTGAATTTCTCAAAAGAAGCAAGCCTGGAAATGTGAGCCACTGCAATTATGAAGAGATTTTTTAACTACAATGTATTTTAAAAACCATTAGCAAAAGGTTTTTTGATTGTTTTTAGAAACAGAAATCTTTGAATGCTGTTTTTTTAATGAAAGCCTAGAAGCTTAAAACTTTTCAACTTTGTCCTTAACATATGCTAGAAGCTGCAACCTTGATAGAGCTGTTTCATTCAGTTATACCGAGATGATGATTTAATAGAAAAGGTGTCTCCACCTCAAAGCCCTTATGATGGAGGAAGATCGGTCTATTTTAGGTCCCTGAATATTTGGGATTAGAACAAATTGATGTTTCTAAAGTGTGTGTTGCTTTCCCACACCTGAATGATTCTAGGATTTTTCTGCCTGTCTGAAATGGTTGCTCAGAGCTAACTGTAGGGTAAGGTCTGTATTGGTGCCAATGCAAGAGTGTAGCTGTGGGTGTTATTTCAAATGCAAAGCGGGGAAAATCATTTATTTCTATGGTAGCAACTGTTGCACTCCAAGCAATTGCTAAATGCTTGGTCCAGTGGCTAGGGCATTGTGTGACGTGGATGTCGCCTAAGGCCAGATTCATCTCCAGAAGCGACAATGCTGCTGTCGTGCTAGTTTTGGTAGGAATTGGTGGAGCTCTGATGTGAGCATGGACTGGCTGTCAGTGGCTTTTCATGGTAAAAGCAGATCGGTGAGGAATATCATGGGAAATCATCCCAAAGGAGCAAGAAATAGACTCTGGCCAATAAGGCTTTCATTCAGAGAAGGGCTTAAACAGCAAGTTTGCCGCTGAAAGATGCTAACATCTGTGGTAGTGAAAGGCACTTTTAGGACCTATTTTGCTTTGTAACCTCTCTTTGCCAGGTGGAGTCTCTCTCTTGGGAGTAACAAGTATCAAAAAAATCTTATGTCTAGGAAAATATTTCTTTCCTAGCAGAGCAAAGAAATTTCTTCTGCACCAACTCTAAGTTATGCTGGGAGAAAAATGGTTCATGTTGCCAGGTTTGCAGGAGGAGAGGAAAACAGTGGGCTAAGCTAACAGGGAAAGCTGACTTAGAGATAATGACCACTGGCCTCAATGGTGCAACCCAGACCCATCCACGCGCTTAACCAAGCTAACACTTGCTGTTCCTAGAGCCTCTCGAAGAAGGATGGACACAGTCAAAGGCCCTGCCTCTGTCAGATGAGCTTTCAGAGCAGATCTCCTCCTGGTCTGAGCAGCACTGAGGGAGTGCTTGTGTATTAATTCTGCACAAGAAAGCTGGGCAGCTGTTAACATTGCTCTGGCTTGACAGTAAATGTCTCAGTTGGAGCTCTGACAGCTGATTTTATCACTCCCAATCTCAGACAGAGTATAGAATGACCTGAGGCTTGTGCTGCAAGAGGGACCAAGGTGGTGGACAAGACAAACTCCACCCACAAGTGTCCTGAGCACGGAGCGTGTGCTGCATGTCCAGGATGCCGACGGGGTTGCTGGGACTCCCTGGAGCAGTCAAGCAGATACCCCAACAATCCGGACCCTGCTATTGAATTTGCACTATTAACTTTTAAAAGTGTGCATTATACTTCTTAGCTGACCTGGTTTCTGCAGGAAGCAGCTGCTCTTGCTTTTCCTACTGCCTCCGCAGCCCACCCAGGTTTTTCCCCTTCCTTTCTTCCTACTTCATTTACATCCCATTGCACCACCCGAATTGCTCAATTGCGGCAATTAACCCAGGTGCGGGAGATAAAGCAAATAAAACCAGCAGAGTGGAGAAGCTTGGCACAAACAAGGCCGGCGTTTGCTTTGACCCGACAGCTCTGCCGGTCGATCAATGGGAGTTCTATGCGCTTCCTCCGACGTCGGGCTGCGGAAGCGCGTACGCTGGTGGGAGCTTTGTGGGGCTTTCCAGCACAGAAGGAAACAACGCGGTATTGTACTTACTTAGCTGTGCCTACCCGTGGCCTGTTTGATAGTGGGGAGGTTATAAATCTCTGAGGAAGCCAGCCCTGTAGGCTGTGCCCACAACCCCTCTGCTGATTTACGAGCGGTGGGTATCCTCGGGCCAGAGCGTTTCGAATGCAGATTATTGCGCGGAGACAACGGATTGCACCGCAACGAGAACCGACTCTGTCCACTCCGATTGACAATAATCTCCCTTTCTGCCTCCTCTGACTGAGGAATGTCAAGTGGTTCCCCCCGCTGAGCCAGCTAATATCCAGTTTCTTTTTATTTATATTTTTGAATTAGTTTTTGAGGGGAGAGGGGGCCAGAGGGCTCTAGCCCTTCAGAGTTTGTTAACATAAGGCAATAGAGATGGATTTAATTGCTTCCATGAAGCATTAGTTTATCGGGTAAGCATTAAGATCATGGCAAGCACGTTGGCGTGGGTCAGATGGTAAGACAGTGGATATTATGGTATGGTTGTAGCTTTTGCAGCAGTGATGTTCTATGTAAATAAGGGGAAAAGAAGGGACAGGTCGCCTGGAAAACGAAGTTCTGAAGGAAAAGATTGATGTGAAACTGCTAAATTTTCAGCTGTGAGAAGCTGATACCTCCTGTGTACCTGTTGCAGTCGGGGTGACCAACACCTTGCAGGGACCTGGCCCTGGTGCTTCAACTCGTGACGGAGGAACAGCAAGACACTTGATATGTGGACAGTACAAGAAAAAATATGTTTGGCCCACCCTGACCCAAAACCAGAGGACACATCCACAGCCTTTTGTTTTCCCTCCCCAAAACGGGATTAAAATAATAATTTCAGGTTTAAGTAGTGTCCCTATGGGAGCCCTTCTGGACTAGTTTGAAGAATCAGATGTGTTTGGTGTTTACAGGCCTTTCTGGGGGACTTGGCAGAGCTCCTGTATTTCTGAGGAGCCCTCCAGCTTTGGAGACAAGCGTGTTCAAGGGTAGTCAGAAGGAGTAAGGCACGTCTTCAAGGTGACGTGTTAAAAGCAAAGGTGAGGACTTACTCTGCTGTCTGTTAATCAGACAGCATGTGACCCCTAAGTCCCTGAGTTTTTGCCTGTTTGCTCAGTCTCCCTTTGCATTAGGTTGTAGAACTCCCTCAAAATTGCTTCCACGTGCTGAATGGGTAGTGCAGTGCAGCCTTGAGAGCACTGGCTTTTCTTTTACTGTTACCAGTTCATCTTGCAGGCTTGGTTCTGTTCTATAACGGGTAGATTGTGAGCTGTATCTGTGCCTGAGGATGATATTGCATCAGAATTAGATCAGATTAGAACATCTAACTATCCTACTAGTGCAGGTAACTTGCAGGACTGAGCATAATTCTCCTACTTAAGGCATAATATTATTAAATCCCAGAAAAGAAAAAGTCTGTGTCTTGTTCTTGACATGTATATAGCAGTGTAAGTAATGCTTCCAATTGTCATAGCAACTACAAAATAGGAGTGGTATGGGGAAAACAAGCAATGCTGTAATGGGATGAGGAAAAAACATATAAAGTGACTTAACTTCAGAGTCTCTAGAGTGCTTTCTGGCAGCTTACAGCTTGGAAGGAAGGTTAAGGCTTCGCCTCCTAACCAATGTCCCTTCTCTTCTCTTCACTCCCACGGCATCTAAAACAAGGGCTTAAGAAAACTATCCTACCGTAGCATGACTTCTAGTTTGAATCTCACTTTTATTGCTCAAAATAAAGCCTGATCGGCTTATTCAGAGTGAAGCTTAGTAGTAAGTTTTTCTGCTCAAGTTATAGAGAGATGTTGAAAATCCTGCCAAATTATGCATTGCCTCCTTTTAATATTCCAGGGCTCTCTAACTCTGCATGGTTTGCTTGACCCATCTCTTCTTACGCTTAGAAAAATGTGCTGGCTTTGAGTACAGCTGAAGTTAACCTGCTCGCTTAATGAATTTGAGACTGAAGCGTACCCTTCTTGGAAGGATTTGTGCTGAGCATACAAACTGTCCCTCAGACCACTCTTGAGCCAGTAGTGGAATCTGGCATCAGTAGGGTTACCTTTGTGTGTGTGGTTTTTCTTTTTTTGCCTCGTCCGAAGTGTCTTGGTGGTTTTACTTAGCTGCCAAAGGGAACACTATATCTGTTATTCCAGGACATGGCACAGTTTGTACTCCTAAGATGCATCTGTCTCTGGATTTGTATATGAGCTGAACCCAGGCTTCTTTGATGCTTTTTTTGGGTTGTTCTTTTTTTTGGTTGTCCTCTGAGAACAGAAATCTCTCTGACACTGACTTGGCCCATCTCTCTTCCCCTAATATGGCAACACCGGCTTGATTAAACAAGAGCTAAGTCATGTGCATTTTAAAACATTCCTGAAGCATCTATGCTGCTAGTGCAAGCTACCTTCATGTCTTCTTTCTCAGAAGACAAGACTGATCTGTGTTTTGGGCCTTCTAAGGAGCAATGGATAAAACACAGTCAGGGCTTGTGAGAGCAAGAGGGTGTGGAGGTGGGCTGCCGCAGGGATCTGTGTGCTGGAGCAGAGCTCCTGCGGGCACGAGGAGCCCAGCACACATTCACCACTGTGTCACCAAGCAGCCAAGAGGAGACCAAGACACAGGTCTAACAAGAAGGAAGTGCGTGCAGGGGCCAGTTCCTCAGGGTCTCCTCCAGATACTCGGGGCCTGACAGGTCAGCCATTGTGCTAAGCCCTGGGCAAACACCAGGAGGGAAACCCTGCCCTGCAGCCTCTGTAAAATAAAGAAACAAGAGACAAAGGTTGGGAGGGGAAAGTGAGGCCCTGAGAGGAAAAGCGTCTTGCACAAATGCTGCTGCTTCTCTGTTTTTTTTTTTTTTCCCCCTCTCTCTTTCTCAGAAATCACCAGATTTAAAATGACTGCTGGTTTATTCTGGTCAGTAGAGCTACCTGTTCCCCCACTGCAACCTGCTCAACTATTGCACAGTGATTGCTGGGCTAAATATAG